TATCATCTCTGAAATCAGATGTCCATTTAAACAGTCTGTACAACACGCCATTCACGTCACATATTTCCCTTGAACAGGCCGTAACAAAATCTGCCTCGTTCATGATACGAACCAAAACATGACGAGGATTTCTCAGAGCCCCGATCACAGGCATCTCCGTAAGTCCTCATCATCCTTTGATATAGCCACAAATATGATCAACAGAGGGGTGTTCCCTCAAGAATTTTAAAACTATAGCATACTTTAGAGGCTCAGCTGTCTTTTGGATCTCTTCATTCGTGAATTGGTACCATATTTGTCCATTAGAATTAATCTTTGGCTCTTTCCATGGAATTTCTATGTCAGATAGAGGAGTTGGCTTCCCTACCACAATATCAGCGTAGGTTGATCCTCTTGCCACCGGTGTTGTCACTCCTCCACCACATGGTTGAGTAGGTGGTGGTGCCCTAGGGTTGGCCATGGTGGCTACCCTAGCAGAAGAAAGAAAATCGCCACAGGTTCTCCAAAATTGCCTCTCCACAAAAATTGGGACTTCATTTTTAGTCCCCCCAACTCTCTGAGGACCTGCAGGGAAGCATTCGCTATGGCCAAAGCTCTAAAGCTCTCCATTATTTTTTTGGATAGTTTTTGTAGTAGAAACCTACTTCTGACGGTGGAGGAGGCGACGGATGTAGGTATTTTGGTCAGAAATTCCATTGGGAATTTATTTAATCGTGCATAGGGACAAATAAAATAATTTTTAATTTCCACACGGATCTACTTTGTGTTTAAATAGAAACTGTGATGAAAGATATACCTTTGTCGAATCCTACAAACTCTTTTGCTTATCTTGAAAACGTACAATCACGATTTACAATTGCCTCCAATGAAAATATACATAGAGAACAAGATTAAGAAAATTGTGATTTTTTTTCTTGTACTAACAAGAATAATTACGTTCTCTTCCATTTTTCCAAACCCATATAAGTCTAAATGGACTTTGCCTGCCTCTTAATTTAATCTAATCCAATATTTAATTAATCAATTTAATTAGATTTGGTTCATAAATTAATTAATCAAATTAATTAATTGACCCACACTCATCAATTAATTAATTGATAAATCTCATTCTTCTAGTTCTCATTTTCTATGTGACCTATTAGATTTCCAATCATGATGCCTAATGACTTGAATTATTATTTTGATCTAATCAAAACTGATAAATTAAAACAGTCATTTTAATTTATCACTAATTTACATTCGTTGTCTTAGATTGACATTTAGTAATGTATCAGGGCAATACATATGATGTAAATATCACATGATATGACAAAATCAAACTTGTTCATTTATTATAAAACTATAATTATTTCGTCAATATGATCCGATCAATTGTGAGATATGGATATATGTCAATCTCAATTAAAAATCATATCTTTTATCTTATTATTAAGTCAATAAAAGTTGAAACTCATTTTTGACTTATGAGTACACATTGACCAATGATTTCGTTATCAATTTAACTGAATGAAATATAGATCATAATATCTTACTATCAAAGAGTGGTGAATCTTTTATTAATCATTCATAACCTTCATACAATTCTTGACATACTCGAGCGACGCCATATTAATAAACCTTAGTAGAGTAACATCCAATATCACCAAAGTATGACTGTTCTCATATAAAGCGTTATGTTGACCTCAAGTTAAATGATCAATTCTACTATCAAATGTTAGAGATTAACAACTAACACTCAAATGTTATCCATGTAAAATTCTACAATATTTTGTTCCATAACAAAACATCCATGTGTTTATTTAAGTGTTACCACACTTTAGTTTATGAGATTAGCTACTTACTGCACAAGTACGAAATGTCACATGTGATGGTCTATTCGTGATAACAATATTCATATCTCGTTATTGCTTATGATTATGGATGATTTAAGATTCAGCAATTTGTATCTCAGAATCACAATTCCTTGTGATTAACAAATAATAGATTTGCTTAAAATGCATCAATTACATATTAAAAGCGTTTATGTCTAACGTTGATTGAACTTAGGACATAACACTTACAAATTCAACTCTCCGTCACTTTGGCTTAATATTGTTATTTCATTTTATCCTACAAATATCAAATTTTGATAGCCCGTACTTCAACGTTCGCTTCTGGTTCACTCATTTTTGGACATTTTTCGGTGATTTTAACTCAAATTGTTGAGATCATTGCTGCCACATTCTAGTTCCCCGATATAGTGCCAATTTGTTGATCGTAAAATATTGATCAACATATTACCTGAACTTAAATAAGATTTTTACCTCCTAAACTTTCTAATTTGATGCTCAAATAGGAGCAAGAAGAGATGACTATTTTGAATGCACTAATCCTTCCCTATTCATGACTATTTATAGATTTATCACTAGATTTCGGGAATAAATGATTTTTTCTTGTTGTTGACATGTAGCAATCATTAATTGGTTGACATATAACTGAATATGTTTTCCATTCTCATTTTATCCACTGATTTGGGCCTTTTCTATTTAATAAAATATTTATTTTGCTTTCGTATTTCGGGTAGCTTGTGAGACTTCGTGCTAATTGTTCACTAGTTGACTTCATTGAAACTTTTTCTTTCTTTTCAACACTTGGAAGGGAGGCGAATATTTGTCTTTTGCTTGATAAACAAATCTACATAAGGTAACGACTCTCCCTATTTGATTTTGTACTTATATTGGTTTAGATGCGGATCGCATTTTTATAAGGACTTAAATTTGTCGAGGTTAGCTTTGATACTATATATTTGAGGAACTTTTTAGATTTTACTTTGAATGTGCATTTGAGTGGATTGAGTTTCATTCTTTATTTTTATAACACATTGAAAGTCTCTCCTAAGTTGTTTAAGTGCCTGAAGCCTGAAGGCTATTTACAGACATATCATCAATATGTATTGACATCGTTCTTCTGATTTGTTCTACGAATGTTTCGTTCAGTAGCCATTAAATTTTGACACCCACATTCTTGAGCCCGAATGATATTACTTTATAGCAATATAGTCCCCAATCTATCATAAATGCACTATGTTCCTAATCAGGCATAAACGTAGGGATTTAATTATCCCTGAATATGCATTCATGAAATTTAACAACTCATGTCCTGCTGTAAGATCTACCAACTGATCAATTATGGGGAATGGGAAGCTATTTTTTTGACAAGTATTTTTAGGTCAGTATAATCTTTGTAGGGTCACGATTTTTCGTTGCTCTTCGGTCTAGGACCGGATTACATACCCATACTGGATAGTGCGCTTCGCGAATAAAGTTATTTTCTAATAGTTTATCCACCTCACTTTTTTGTACTTCGTACTTTTCGGGGCTCATTGGCCGACACCTTTGTATCTTGAGTTTGATCTTTATATTGAGTTTCAAGGCATGGGCGACCTTTGAGTCAATTCCTATTTTGTCTTCATGTTTCCAAGCGAATATATCTAGGTTCGCGGCTAAAAAACTTTTTAGGAAGCTTCCATGGGTTTGTATAACTCTTTGCCAATTTTGAGATCTTTGCTCTCATCCTCAAGGCTAAGGAAACGTTTTCTAGCTCTTTGACTGTTGTTGCTTTGGATGTGCACTCCATTATGAGGGAAAGGGGTCGCAGTTACCAGTCCCGGGCGACTGTTTACCAAAAACACAGGACTCCCCGACCTTACACGTAGCAAACCTGCTAATTCGAATCGATAAAGTCATCAATTTCTAGTTTATCCTCGAGGTTACTTATTTCAACTATTTCTAGGAGCTAGCTTGTCTACAGTCATGAATCACTTTTTATTAACTATCCTTTAACTTATTTTAGTCGTGAATCATGTTTTATTTGTCTGCCCACATGCACCTTGTTGACATCCTGTAGCCAACCAAGTTGTAGCAGTTGCTTTGAGATCTTTGGGCGAGCCCTTTGCTTTTTATCACTCTAGTATATTGTTTTTCTGCTTCACGAAAAGGAGTTTCTAGCAAACATTAGCTGTTTTTCTCATTCTCTTCATAGTTCGTAGAAAGAGTAAAATATTATGGGAGTTAGAAAACTATGTTAATATTTTAGTGACACTTATAGGTTTAGATGAACGAAATATTTTATATGACTATACAATATTTTGTCTTTGACGACTTATAAATTTTCCCAATTATTTTATTTTATTATTATTATTTTTTTTTGTGCGTTATTAGTATTTTTTGGACAAAAATAATATGAACAAAATCAAAGAATTGATATCAATTCCCAACACTATATTCATAGTTTCTAACGTTTTTCTATTACTTATTGTTTTCTTCCACTACAAGTAATTAATGCATATCTAAGGT